ACTCCCCTTGCTGCCCTGTTGCACGCCCGTCACATTTCACACCGATGTGCGTCGGGCGGACCGTGCACACTTTCCACACAGTGTCTCCATGCTGTGCCCTGTGCGCTATGGGTCAGTAAGGGGATGTCATAGCTCATGGTGGGGCTGGCCCTACGGTCTTCTCTGTGCATTGGTTGCTGCAAACAGGGATGTTGTCCCCGGGGTAATTACTTTTCTAAGCTCTAAGTCTGCCCCGTCAAATGCCCAGAGCAACTAAGTAAACTCAACTACTGTGTTTTTCACATATAAGTGCCTACACAAACAACGTGTATAAAGCATCAGAGATTAATGTGGGAGGGGGTTGCAAAGCTAGCAATACATACCCCCGCCCTGCTGCATGCACACACACACACACATACACGCATGCGCGCAACCCGCCCTGCTGCACGCACACATAAAAATTCGGCAATATCCTTGCTTGCAATACATACCCTCCACCCTCAGCTGAGCCTGGTGTGCCCAGTGCAGAGACCTGCACTTTAGTTCATTCTCTGCAGTAGCACACCTCCAGCTTCCTGCCCTTTGGGAGCTCTGACGGCAGCTCCGCTCAGCTCAGCTTCCCAGAGTTCTCGGCTCGGTCACAGCAGCCCCCACCCTGCTGTGCTTTGGGACATCGCTCAAGTTGTCTCGTCTTGTGACCTCATGCCTCAAAAACAATCCCCAGGCTGGCTGTCACTTAGTGGGCTTATAGGAGCTGAAAGAATGTATGTTCTCGTCCGTCATCTGTAACTAGAATACTCGATCTTTATGGCAGAGTGGTTTACGCATTGGGCTGCTCACCACAAGGTCACCAGATCGAAACCCCCAGCTGCTCTGAGGGAGAAAGGTGAGACACTGTGATCCTATAAAGAGTTACCATCGCAGTAATCCACTGGGCCAGTTCTCCCCTGTCAGTAGAGTTGGTTGATATGTATTGGAATCAAAGGCAGCGTGTTGTTGTTTTTTTGGGGGGTGGGACTGGGATGGGGGGTGTCAACTCTGAAGAGGCCTTTGTAGCACTGTGAATTATTTACTCCTATCCCTTTTGAGGGGTGAAGTCTTACGTTTGAGGCCACCCACCAACTTAAGAGGAAGAGTGGTACATTACTAGGGAGTGAAGAGCAATGGATTTTAGGTCAGTCCAATGGAGGTCTGAGTAACTTCAGCATCACCAGCTAGCGGGGTGAGGTGACCCTAGGGCCCCGTTTGCTTCAATATGGTGTTGTCCGAGCCCCTGGGCCCTTCACAGGGTTTCTGAGTCTATAAATTTGTATCAAAGCAGAGAACCCCATTTTTCTCCTGGGGATCAGCTGGTGGCTGTGAGCCACAGACCATGAGGCTAGCAGCCCGACACTCAGTCCAATAGCACCCGTCGGGCTTCCACCCTTCACTTCTCTGTTTAGGATCTTAATTTTCACCGAGCAGGGGGTCTTGGCAATAGTTGTTTAAAAATAAAATAAGGTGTTTTATGGCGCATTTGGAAAAGAGCCTCCTTTCTAATGAGTCTCGATAGATAATGTCAACTTGTATGATTATCAAGGTTTGGGTGTAGCTCCTAACAGAGGCTGGCTATGCAAATCCACCCAGGGTCGGCATGGAAGAAAGGCCTGGCAATCGACGTCCATTTAAAACCTTGTGGGAAGGTTTTTACGCTGTAACCCAGAGGCTCGTCATGAGTCCGAATCAGAGTGACTGGTTGGTTTTGCATTGGAAACCCAGAGGGTGTTGCTGAGGGGATGTTCTGGTAGGGCCTGGGTTTAGGAAAATGTCATTCTTTAAGTGCCTCCTGGTTCCTGGGTCTCTGGGCTTCCTAAAGCCCCCTCCAAGGATTGCCCGGAAGGCCCCAGAGCCCAGCCAGATGGCTCAGCTCGATCCTGTGACAGCGCTCAATGGGCTTCAGAGACTCTTGCACTCCTTGGCTTGTGTCAGAAGTCAGAGACCCAGTGGATGCCTAATATAACAGGAGTCAAACTGCACCTTGAGGGTTAGCCAAGAACTTCAAGGTGCCCTCCTTGTCCCTTGTCGGCCATGGCTCTGCCCTCCTCGGTGGCAGCTGTGAGTGACCCTGCTGACCACAGCATTCTGCTGCTTGTGGAGCCAGGCACCTGCTCTTCTCCCAGGGCTCTCTGCAAGGTCTCTGCTGTCAGGCCTGCAAACCTACCAGGGATTGCTGTTGGGGGGGCTGGGGTGCCCCAGTTGGTCTGGAAACCCCCCTGAGATCTCCATTTCCACCAGCCACAGAGGCTCCGGGCTGCTTACCTGATTGTCTGAACGCCAACCCATGCCCCGCCTAGCACGGACACAGTCTGATGGTAATTCACAACTCGGGAAGCTTCTTAGTGTGACTCCATGGCGACTTGTCAATAGAATCTAATAACCGGGGGAAATCGAAGGCTTGGGCTTGCTGTCGTTTCCTGCACATCTGCCGGTTTCCCTCATCGGCTGGGGGTGGGGGTGCCTGCGGGGGTGGGGTGGGGCGATGAAAAAGTCTGAGGACAAGAGTGACTGTTTTCTTTTTTTTTATTTTTTTTTAATTTTTTTTTTACTGTTTTCATTCTGGGAGCGTAACTCGATACATATTTATTATGCCGCCGGCAGCAGCGTGTCCCTGGGTGACTGTAAGACACGTAGCATAGCGTGAGAGGCCGGCTTGACAAGTGTCCTCATTAGGAAGGCAAAGGACGCCTTTTTGCAGGCAGGAGCAAGCTGCCGGCATGCGTCCACCTCACCTCGGGCTGCAAAGGGGAGTGCTGGTCCTTGAGGAGGAAGCAGGCTGGGCTTTGCCTGGCATTAGCTCCCACAGGTCCCTGTGACCTGGAACTGCAGCCGCTGGTGCCATAAACAACAGGAAATAACCTGCTTTGAAAGGCCGGGCCACAGGGATAGGTGGGTCCCCACTCACCCTGGCATGAGTTTCTGTGGGCGCTGTCTCTCAGAAGCTGGTGGTGAGGCCCTCAGCAGAGGGCAAG